TTCTAAAGAATGCTTTCAGCACCTTGTTGAATCAATGCCACGTAGAATTAAGGCAGTTCTGAAGGCGAAAGGGGGTCAAACACCATATTAGTATGGTGTTCCTAATAATCCTTTAGGTGAGTGTATATATGATAGGTTAATCAGTGTGATTCTGAAGAGATGTATTATTTGCTATTCATTATTCTATTTAATATATAATACAAAGCAAACTTGGATTACGGTCTAACATTATGAAATGTTATTCATCCATTAACCGGAAACACGTACCTACAGCAGGTCCTCTGTGAGTCTGGAGCCTGTTCTGGATCCCTGTCATGGGGTACACAGTCACACCCTAAGGATGAGTTTGAGACGTCAATCCTACCTAAACTGCATGCCTTTATCATGAAGGGTCAACCCCTCAGAAGCACAGGGAGAACATGCAAACACGGACGCATACACACACACACACACACATATATATGAGCCACTTTCAATTGTAGCACAAACAAGGAAATAGCTCTGTTGTAAATTTCCTGTGGCTGAAGGGGTCCCTCTAGTGGTCCAAACTGGCATCAAGCATATATATTTTTAAGGTGTTTCTAGGAAAAGTGTGTTGCCTATAAAAAATGCTTAAGCTTTGGTAGTCAGAATTTAAAACAAATAATACCCTGTTCTGTGCTTTGTCTAATGCAGTTACTGGAAAGGTCAGGTGCAAATTAAAACAAAAAGGTTTGGACACATAAATGACTACCAGGTAGTTTTTTTTTCATCCTCAAGCAATAAAAGGTGTCAGGGTGAGAGGCTGGTTAAAATGCAGATGTTTTTCTCTGAGGTGATGTACCAAAGGCACTCTAAGGGATATATTGAATTTTGCAGCAATTGCATATTGCAGAGAAACAAACAGCCTTATTTGCAGGACCTCAAAGAAACATTCATCTATACAGGGACTTTAACCCAGGACCCATGTAAAAGGCTGATGCTCTGCCAATCAGAATCAAAATCAGAATAGAGTTTATTGCCAAGTACATTTACACATACAAGGAATTTGCTTTGGTGGTTGGTGCCAGACTTCAAGAGATGAGGTGGTTAATATTTAAATATATATACATATAGTATGTGCAGGTACTAATATAAATAGTCAGTGAATGTGGAATATGATACAATAGTGGAAATATATACATATTTAAGAGAGTGCATTCTTGTGCTAGGATGGGGAAATAGTAATTGAGTGAGTGTTCCTGGCCTTATTGATGAGGCGGGCCGCGGTGGGGAAGGAACTGTTCCTATGGGGTGATGTTTTGGTCCCAATGGACCGCAACCTTCTGCCAGAGAGGAGAGTCCGAAGGAGTTTGTGACCAGGGTGAGAGGAATCGGCCATAATCCTTCCAGCTCTTTTCAGAGACCTGGACTCGTACAGGTCCTGTAAGGATGGAAGGTATAGAGATATAAACTTAGCGATACAGGCTCCTCTGACATGATGGCCACCACATACACAGCCTCTAGACTTCATTGGGTCCCTTTCACATGGTTTTTATTTGAACTTTTAAATGATTGTTTTGTAACATCACATTTCTCTTTACTAATTTGGATAAATCCTGAATTGTGTGCATGCAGCACACTAACACTTAATGTTAGGGGGGGGGGCTGTATGGCTCAGTGGGTTAGGGTGCTGAACCTGGGATCAACAGGTCAAACGGTATGTCCATCTATCCATTTGCCATTCCCACTTATCCTATGTAGAGTTGTGCTTTGGATAGAAGTGTTTGCTACATAAATGAATTGTAACACTGACAACACCATTGCCTGCTAAAGTGATGGAGGTGCTGTCCTATAGATCACTGCGATTGAGGTCAGCACCTCTTGGTCCTCCAGTTTTTTGTAAATCTATTTCACCCAGGAGGACAAAGTCAGAGCTTTATCAATGTCTCCAAATGCTTGTCTTATAACAGAAGTAAAGACTAGTGAAGTATTTGTATTTTTTAACTTAAGATTACTTTAATTCTGGCCACCCTCCAGTCCAGGGCCCAGGAAACAAGTGTACATTGCTGGGATGTTCACAAGTGTGCCCTGCAGGGACGTTCACGAGTGTGCTTTGCAGGGACGTTCACGAGTGTGCTTTGCAGGGACGTTCACGAGTGTGCTTTGTAAGGATGTTCACGAGTGTGCCCTGCAGGGACGTTCACGAGTGTGCCCTGCAGGGACGTTCACGAGTGTGCCTTACAGGGACGTTCACGAGTGTGCCTTACAGGGACGTTCATGAGTGTGCCTTGCAGGGACGTTCACGAGTGTGCCTTACAGGGACGTTCATGAGTGTGCCTTGCTGGACCCCAGTCCCTCTGTCATGGCTGAGGATGTCATACTGAATATCTGTGACACCAGGGCTGTCATTTGGGTCCAGTGTGATTTTGCTCTGGGACGTAACTCAGTAATTTATTCAGGACCTTTGACTGTCAGGGAACTGTGGAGTCTGGTGCCTTGCAGTTACTGCTTTGATGTGTGTGTGTTTGCATAAAAATTTAATTTATTATAAAGATTAGAATGATATATAAGGTAATTTGGTTAACAGATGGGAATGGCATGGTGGGGCAATGGTTGGTACTGTGGCCTCACACTTCTGGGATCTGGGTTCAGATCTCCACCAGGATTCTGTGTGTGGAGTTTGCATGTTCTTCCTGTGTTGATGTGGGGTTTCCTCCAGGTACTCCAGTTTCCTCCCAGAATCCAAAAATATGTTGAGGCTCAATGGAGTTGCCAAATTGCCCATAGGCATGGATGTGTGAGTGTGCCCTGTGATGGGTTGGTGCCCCATCCTGGGTTATCCCCTGCCTTGCACATATGGGCTCTAGACTTGCCCCCTACCCCCCAGAATAGGATAATTAGCTTCAGAAAATGGATGGTTAACCAATGCTCCTATGTCTTTACCACTTGTAGTATCATTTTCTTGTGGGACTTCCTGCAAAGGTTCTTTGAAGTCTGTAAAAAAGGTCCTCAGTCCTGTACTTATATTTTTCCAGGTTATTTAAGAAAGCAGTACTGACTAGTCTGTGAATCCTATACAGCTGCACATGTGCAAACGTCAGCAGTACAAGATTTAACAACAAAAAAAATTGTTTAAAAATTAAGCACAGGGTGGGAAAAAAAGTACCACCATCTGAGGTTTAGTCTTCCACGCATGTATTTCACTCGCTCGGATCTTAACCGATTTCGTTCCAACCCGTAATACTTTAAAATTAGACTTGATTCTGAAAATCAAATGTACAGACACCTAAGAACTACACGTTAAAACGGTAATTTCAAAATTTTATGCCAAATCACAGTCGAGACCGAAATTTACATATGTAATACACACACACACACCTAATTACCTGGAAAATCGGAACTCCTTAATACGCGGAATTTACGGGACCACGTTTGGGAACAGCTGATATCACAGGCCTTAGAGCACGCCAACAAAGTACAGTATATTCCCGTCCGGATCCGCGGGGATGGGAGAGGGGGAATGCGGGCAGAGTGAGAGAGGGAGCGTGGGGGAGCTCTCGTGACGTCACACGCCGCGCTGGCTCGCCGTAGAGAAAGTTTCGTGGCCCCCTCCTCCTTTTCTCAACTCTACTGTTGTTTTTGTTGTTGGGGTAAAAGTTTGCTTGTGTGAATGTGCGCCTCTGCGATTTTCTCGATCCCTTCGGCAAAGGGAGGATAATTTCGTTTATTCGGAAAGATCGCTTAATTTTCTTTCCTGGGGTAGCAAAGGAAGCGAGAATACGAGTACGAACGCCTTTTAACCGGTCATTGTCTGGCTGAAGCGGACCGATCGCGTCTGCCCCCCTCCCCATCCTCTCGTATAGGTCTGCGGGACAGAGGAAAAAGGGACCTGGCGCAATGGCGGAGACCAAAATAATATACCACATCGACGAGGAGGAGACGCCGTACTTGGTCAAGATTCCCGTCCCTGCGGAAAAAATCACGCTGCTGGATTTCAAACAGGTCCTGAACAAGCCCAACTACAAATTCTTCTTCAAATCCATGGATCAGGATTTCGGGTGAGTTGAGCGCCGTCCTAGGCGGCTGGTTACTGGATACTGATGTACCGTCTATGCCTTCCAGATCGATGCAGGGTCTCTGGATACAGTGTGTAAGCATCAATTAAACAGCCAGCAGATCCCTTAAGGGCTGACAGATAGGACGAGAAACTATGTAACTATTTGCATTATCATGAAATATTATGTATAGTAGTAATATCTGACGCACCGCCTATATTAATGGAAATAACAAATATACTTTTAAAAATAATTTCTGCTGATCTTGTAGATTGTAGCATTGTGTGATGGCTGCAGGACAAGCCATACCTAATGTAATCGCTCCATCTTGCTAATTACTTTTTTTTTTGTCTGGGAGGGGAATTGCACGCGTTATGACTTCCAGGAATTATTGTAAGCGTTAAACAACAGAAGTTGTTGAACGTTGTAAATGACGGGCAGCCGGGGGGATTTTTGCAAGAAGTGGGGTATCTTACGCATCCATTCAGTAGCGGAACCGGATTTGTAACCCGATTTGTTGTCGCTATTAGGACATTTAATTTCGTGCACCTCTTTTTTTTTAAAAAAGAAAGGAAATTAAAAGCACACTGAAATACAACTATTAAGACATGCAAACATTAGGCTATGTGATACAACCTGTGCATTATTCCGCCTTACTGGAACAGTCTGAAACTAAACCCCTTAAACACGTCAAAAATCAAGTGAAAGAATATCACACGGATCTGCTCGCAGACTATTTGGGCGGCCCTTTCATCCTCCAAAGTTTCTTCTCGGCCTCCTCCTCCTCCTCATGCCAGGCTTTCTTATGAGCACACGGGAGCTCGCTGCCCTTAACGTCGCCTCTTTCCTCCTTCCTTCCTTCCTTTCTTCTCCATCTCCAAGTTTTCTTCAGGGAGCTGGTAACCGTAGCCGTCCCCCCTGCTTTCGCTGCCTTTCTGGGCGTCGGTGCGTGAGATACGGGTCCGTCCTTGTGCTTTTCATATCTCCCTGTAAATCATATCTTCGTGTTTCTGGTTTACTCTCAGGCTAAATTTGAACCGCAGAGGCGTCCTTACTGTGCCGTTTTGACCGCCTCCACTGTAATCTACCGGAGTGGAATTGATATGATTTTATGCTGCTCCTACACCCCCCATTCAGGAGAGGAGTATTATGCCCCTTATGTTGCAAACCTACGGGGTACAATAAATCTGGCCTTGTTCTAAATCCTCATTGTAAGCCTGTCCAATGTAAACGCGCTGTCTACGAGGTCAAGGAAGATGGGGGGGACTTTGCTGGCAGAGTTTCAGTAGAGCTTAAATCCCTGCCTGGCACTGGGGTCTTAACTGAGAATCGGCCGTTTCAATGAACCGCGTCTAGGAATGCCTCAAAAGCAGCTATCAAGAGACAGCGTGTAAGCAAAGTGCTTGAGAACCACTCGCTTCTCACGCTAAATCTGTTGTGGGGGCCATTAGCTCCGAACCATCGGGTCTGCTTCGTACGGCTCCTTAGACTCCTAAAGTTTAGGCAGGGAAGAAACATTTTGTCAAAGAGGAACATTAATATTTCAGAGGAAGGTCCTGCCCCCCCCCAAGTGTGGACTGTTGCTGCTCTGAAAAGCATCTAAGGATCGAGACGAGGAGATTAAACAACTGTTAATATTTGTTTGAGGTGGTTTTCTTAGGCTCTGCCAGAATGTGTGTGTTTCCTCAGTCAGGAGACAGCTGTCAGATGAACTGTGTGAGGGTGAGAGAGATTTGCGGGGGGCGGGATTGGAGGGGGGCCATTTGCTGGGTGTCTGGGGCACAGTCAACAGGAAGGATGGGGGGCTGGGAAGCCGGTTTGGGAAAAAAAAAGCGCATGTCTCTGAGGGTGGTGGGGGGTGTTTAGAGAGAAGCGGCTGTGGTCAGGAGTGAGTGGGGGGGGGGGGGGTGCCTTGGGCTCCCCATTTAGCAAGGCAGTTGTTCTGCCTTGGGCGTTACTGGGCTTTGTGCTGTCGAGCGGCGTAGCCTCTGTGCCAAACAGACAATGCGGCAGCATGTTGGGCTGTGAGCAGAGAGGGGGCTTATAGTATATGGGAAGGCCAAGAGAAGCACATCTTTTGTGTGCCTGTAATAATTGGGAGGCCGTGGCAGGTGGGACCGGCCTGCCGGTAGCTGAAGATGGGGGAAGGAAGGCGAAGAACCATCAGAGAGTCGAGGGAGTCGAACGGAAAGGTGCTTTTATTCTGCTTAAGCTTTAGCCGAACCAAATGTTGATGTGTGTGTGTTTGTGTGTGTCTGTCTGTGGGGGGGTGGTAGTCCATGTATATGTTGCATTGTGGTGGGGAAAAAACTGTTCATCTTATGTGTGCGCACTTTTTTTGGTCCCCAAAAGGGAAAACTGAGTTTTATAAAAAAAAAAAAAAAATCTGAGTGCAACTGGAAAAACTAAAAATGCCAGAAGACTTGTTTTGGTTACTTATGCTTAAGGTTAGGGCTGGGTAGGGGTTAAGGTTCTCATAGCCGGGATTAGGGTATTTCCCATAGAAATTAATGGCGAGTCCCCACAAAGATAGATACCTAATCTGCGTGTGTGTGTGTGTGCGTGTGTGTGATTCCTAAGAGGTCTCTTTACCTTAACATGCCGGATGAAAAGTGAGCAGTGCCTAATTATGAGTCGCAGTCGCTGATGGGAAAGCCAGCTGTGTGCTGTCTGACACTCCTGGCCATAGCCAAAATGGCCCCTATAGGAATCCAGTAGCGCTCCTGCCATTACAGTCAAACAATTGGAAGGGGAGCATAGAGGCGTTTCTGACTCAGCAGAGCTCCGCAGGACGAGCAGCTGTTTCACTTTAAGGCTGAAATGCTTCTCTCTCTCTCGCTCTCTCTCTTTCCCCCTTGTTGTTGTTGTTGTTTCTCCTACCTTGGCTGACTTGACGGCTCAGGCTTCGGCCCAGCCGCCTCCGTGTGTGTTCTACCGCTCCCTCCCTTCATTTTTGTTGTCTCCATCTTCTCTTTCTCTATAATTTCTCCATCTTTTTTGACCCTGTCTTTGACTGAACTCTTTCCTGTTATTTTTCCTTACCTGCTGCTCCATCTTCTCTCCATCCATTTTGTCTATTTCATCGGTCTCTCTACTTTCTTTCCATTAATGTCATGTTTCTTGATGACCTCACAGATCTCTCCTCCCCTGTGATTTTTCTTAGCTAACCTCCAACCTTCTCACTTACCTCATCTCTCTGACCCTTTTGCATGTCTTGACCAGTCCTACTCTCCAAATCGGGTGCTGTCTGCCTCAGCGGGTTTGGATGCTGTGCTTGTGGTCAGCAGGCTGTTGGTTCAAATCCCGGGGACACCAGAGTGATTTCACCATTGGCCCTTTGAGTGAGGCCCTTAACTCCACAGACTCACTTTCAGCAAAGTATTTTCTGAAAAATGTTTAGTACTGTAGTTGTGTTTTCCACAATAAAAATGTCTGTCTTGCTGATCTTTCTGCTGTATTTCTGCCCTCCTGTGCCATGCGCTGATCTTTGTCCACCTCGCTGTGTTTTTCCACAGGGTGGTAAAGGAAGAGGTCTCCGATGATTCTGCCAAGCTGCCTTGTTTCAACGGGAGAGTGGTGTCCTGGGTAAGGGGGGCGCATATGGGATCCTGCCTAATGACGCACTTGCATGAAGGCGACCAGATCAAGTCCCACGGAAGACCAAGCTCTAGTGCAACCAAAAGAAGTTCATGTAACCCACACTGTTCTAGAAAATCTCTAATATATCCAGCAGTTCATTGAGAAATAAGTAAGCATGTACATTAATTAGGCTTTAAAGCAATTAAATATAAGTGTAATATCACAGAGGTGTGCAGGGCAGTCCCGCCCTCCGGCTTGGGTTGCAACTTAATGGGTCCTAAGGCTAAACAAACAACAAACAAATTTATTTTTGTATAGCGCATTATCACAACATTACATTGTCCCAAAGCGCTTTACAGCATCCCCACCCAAAGCCCCCAGTGAGTAAGCCATAGGCGACAGTGGCAAGGAAAAACTCCCCAGAAGGAAGAAACCTTGGGAGGGACCAGACTCAAAGGGGGAGCCCATCCTCCAGGGGCCGGCAGGGAGAGTCACCAGTTAAAGCATCACTTACTGTTTGATTTTCCCAACTAGAGTCTCACAGCTGGGGGTCTGTATCACTATGCTGAGTCGGATAACTTGTCAAATTTAAGGTAGTCTGGGCTGAAAGTAAGTGAATGAAGATAGTCCATTTAAACTGGGGTACCTTAAATCTGACAAGTTATCTGGCTAAGCAAGAAATCTGGCTTTGTGTTACAGACCCCTGGTGCATCAAGTGCACGTTATGTTTAAGGCTTTTGGGTCATTTCTAAAGGACATCTGCGGCTATATTCACACTTTGAGCCAAGTGTTGGGGGGGGGGGGCGTGCGAATGCTGGAATGGGGGCTATAGGGGGCCCCTGATTGTGGGGTTTTTGGTTATAAAGGTTTTTGTTTTGTGTTTTGTAATGTTTTGGGTATGGATCAATCATTTACTTAAATGAAAAAAGCCCATTAACCCAATGATTAAATGCAGACACTTTTTCCCCAAAATCCTTTGTCAAGACACTGAAAATGATATAATGTAGCTGGAAAATGGAAAGAAACCTTTGTAAAGTGAAAAAAAAAACAGTTGTCAAAGATGTTGAGAAATATAGGCAGGCTTAGTTATGCAGGAAGGACCCTTTTAGCGCAGCGGTGCCCCTGAGTAAATCCAAATGGCCCCTCGCACCGATGTCGCTCACTCTGTAGTGAGGCAGATCCTCAGCTAAATCCTGCTCCCAGCTTGCGGCCCCTGATAGGCTGTCTGACGGGTTGCCGTTGTGCTCCGCTCTACATAAAGAACGACATTGGACTCCGTAAACAAAGGGCGGGGAGGGAGGGACGGGGGCTGGTCAGTGGAATTGTGGGAAGGAAACCTGACACCGCGGTTTGTATGACATGTGACAAAAGACAGGCAGGTTAGCATGTGGGTCAGGGGTCATTGTTAGAGGTGATTTATGGTCGTGTTTTTATATTACAACTTATTTGCCAGCGTCTCGTCCTTTAAAAAAAAAAAAAAAAAAAGAAATGGCGCACTTGAAAGAGAGTGAGGTCAATTACCGTGGTAAGTTGTACATTAGAACACCAGATTTTGGGAGGTGGGTGGAGTTGGTGACCTATCCTGCGCAGAAGGTTCCGGATAAAGGGCGTTCTGCGCGTGTTCGCCGGTCCCTGCCTTTATTTATCGGCTCCCTAATAGCCAGTAGTGATTTGTGTGCCATTGTTCCGTGACCCTGGGAAGCATCCTGTTGGTATGAACACGGCAGATTGTTCCAGAAGCTTACTTCATCCTGCGGTACTGATACACGTGTGACTCTGCATTCCCCCACCACCCTGTCTGTATCTCTGTGCCCCCCCCCCACTCCCCAATGCAGCTGGTGTCCTCAGATGGTCCCAACCCAGAACCCCCTGCTGCCGCCCCGGCCCCGCCAGCGGAGGTGCGACCCCCTCCATCTCCGCCCCCCCCACCCTTGCCCCCTCCACCTGCTGAGAGGGTCAGTGGCATCGGGGACTCCAGGCCCCCATCTTTCCAGTAAGGAATGCCCCCCTGACCCAGCTGGCTTCGTGTAACTGGGAGCCATATGCACACTGATTGATAAGTTCATATAATAACACCTTATATTTTCATACTGGCACGAGAGACTGTACATTTGTTTAATCAGGACCGTAAAATGTACAGTAATTGCTCATTTCTGGAATATATTTCTGTGCTGACTAAGGCAGATGTTCAGGGTGACAGATACAATAGAGACTAATGATCTGGGAAGACTGGAGGAGTGTTTCTTCCCAGAAAAGAGTGTTTTTAAAGCTTTTTCATCATCGCTAAGAATGTAAATGTAATTCTACATAGTCAGTGTTTTTTTTTCTTTTGCAAAACTGTGTGATGATAGACATTCCTGTCAGGCACTGACCTGGCCAGCCCTGCGGACAGGCAATGGTGGATATCTGCTCTCGTAATATCAAAGTAACTTTATAGTCTGAGGTGTGTGTGTGTGTGTGTGTGGGGGGGAGTTAGTGTATTAGTTCTGCCTCCCCAGAGTGAATTGTGACCCAACACCCCCCCCCCCCTCCCCTGCAGCCCCAACGCCCCACCCAGCGTGGACACCGTGGATGACCGCACGGACACGGAGTCGCTGGTGTCCTGCCGTAGGCAACGGCCGCGGCACAGGGAGACCCAGGACCCACACGGTGAGGGGGGGCCCAAGTCCTGGCTGACATACGCGAGAACAGTGACCCGATCCTCCTCCTTCTAGGAATTGGCAGCTGTAGGGCAGCTCCAATCTGCCCTAAGATCCATTTATGCTCATGTCATTTGCCCCCCTCCCCCCCAGGGCCGAGGATGAATGGGCAGAGCCGCCTGGAGCGCCACCTAGCGGGCTATGAGAGTGCCAGCACGCTCATGAGCAGTGAGCTGGACGCGACCAGCTTCTGCGACTCGGAGGACGACGACACCATGAGCAGGTGAGACGTTGGCCGTGGCTGAGATTAGTCACTGTGGTGGGGTGGCATCGAGGTGATCTTCGTGCAGTGATCTGAGCTTAAGGAGATGATTGTTTATGAACAGTGGTGCTACTGATTGCTATTCGAAAAGATCAGAAAAGTTGATTGTTGCCCGCAGGTTCAGCAGCACCACAGAGCAGAGCACGGCCTCCCGACTCCTGAAGCGCCATCGGCGCCGTAGGAAACAGCGCCCCCCGAGGCTGGAGAGGGTACTGCACCTGTCAACACGACAGTAGCGGGGGGCTTAGTGGGTGCAGCTGGCAGCAGCTTCGGGATGGAAGCAGGGCATAGGGTGACGGGCTGGGTTTGCCCGTTTTATTAATGGAAGCATAAGTCGCACGTGGGAATGGTCTGATTTCTGGTGAGGGGCAGTGATTGGCTGCAATGCGGGGTGTAACCCTTATGTCCCGCCTTCCAGGCCTCCTCGTTCAGCAGTGTGACAGACTCCACCATGTCCCTCAACATCATCACTGTCACCCTCAACATGGGTGAGTTATGCTTACTGTACCCTCTGCTTCCCTTTCCTAATATATATAATATATCCATCCATCCTACACCCAACCTTGGTTAATTGTTTTTTTTTTGGGTCTTATTTTCCTTTCTCCACCCACCTCCTGATTTAAAATACAGTTATCAAATATTTGTTTTAATTATAATTGGGTTGAGCAGTGTTCTCTAACCGACAGGCCATCAGCATTCGTTAGTATTCGATGAGCTTCAGCGACGATCGGCCGGCCAAGAGGCTTCCTTGCCCCTTTAACTGTGGGCTTTTTTTCCCATACAAACAGAGAAATACAACTTCCTGGGCATCAGCATCGTGGGCCAGAGCAACGAGCGGGGGGACGGTGGCATCTACATCGGCTCCATCATGAAGGGCGGAGCTGTGGCGGCCGACGGGCGCATCGAACCGGGGGACATGCTGCTGCAGGTACCAGTGTGACAGACAGGGGGTGCTAAAGGCTTTGAGGAGTGCTTAATTAATGACTAAAGGTTCATATGCCTGAGCTACCTGAATATGTAACAAACCCACCTTGATAAGACGACGTCTCCATCAAGGTCAACGACATCAACTTCGAGAACATGAGTAACGATGATGCAGTCAGGGTCCTGAGGGAGATCGTGCACAAGCCGGGGTGAGTCTCGCACGCTCACACACACCCGCTCACGGGTGACGCCCGCCTGCCCCTGTAACCTCATAAATGCCCTGCTCCGGTCTCTCTCCTTCTCTCAGGCCTATCATCCTCACGGTGGCCAAATGCTGGGATCCCTCCCCTCAGGGCTACTTCACGCTCCCGCGCAGTAAGTCCCTCTACCCCCCGGCCCCCCATGTCTGTGCTCGCCGTCTCAGTCCTCTCTGACGATGCCGCTGTCTGCCTCCATCCAGACGAGCCGATCCGGCCCATCGACCCGGCCGCCTGGGTCAGTCACTCGGTAGCTCTGACGGGGACCTACCCCGTATACCCTGCTAGCTCCGCCCTCAGCTCCGCCCTCAGCTCCGTCACCTCCGGCTCCTCCATCACCGAGACCGAACGTAAGTCTGTGTGTGTGATGTCATGCCTCATGCTTGTTGCCTGTGTGACTCCCCGCCACCTCCCCCGGCCCTTTACATCCAAAGTACCCCTTGAGGTGGAGTGTAACCCCCCCCATATCTGCCAACCCCCCAGGCTTTACTGACTTCAACCTGTCCCTGCACTCGGACATGGCGTCGGTGGCCAAGGCGATGGCTTCCCCCGAGTCCGGCCTGGAGGTCAGGGACCGCATGTGGCTGAAGATCACCATCCCCAACGCCTTCCTGGGTGAGGGACCGGCCACTGCGAGCGGGGAGTGGGGGGGGGATCGGCGGGCTGTCGGTGAACCCGAGCAGACTGGCTGTCAGAGTCGGACGACGCGGGGCGCTCTGTGGCCCAGTGGGTCGGGATGCTGTTCCTGTGTTCTGGTCGCCGGGTTCAAATCCCAGGGTCGTCAGAGTGATTCCACTGAGCAAAGCCCTTAACCCCCAGTTGCTCCCGGGGCTGTGTCTAAGCCTGCTTTCTCAGTGGGGTGTCACTTTGGATTAAAGTGCCTGCTAAATAAATAAAATGTACATGTCAAGAAGAGATGGATAGATATGCAGATCATTGTATTATTAATCCCAAAGGAAACTGCAGGTTTACTGTAGATGAAAAAACAAATTTAGACTGTAAAGAGGCATTTAGACATTCACAAACAGTAACAATAAATAACAGATGAGAAACTTTAACAGTGCAAAGAATGTCAGAATATGAAGTATTACGCTGGAAGCCAGTCTGTGTATTTCGGTTCACGTATAATATTATTTCATCATTTAATTTCCATCTCTTCTCTCGCTGTCCCCAGGCTCGGATGTGGTTGAGTGGCTGTATCACCACGTGGAGGGCTTCCAGGACCGGCGCGAGGCACGCAAGTATGCCAGCAACCTGCTGAAGGCTGGCTTCATTCGCCACACCGTCAACAAGATCACCTTCTCCGAGCAATGCTACTACATATTCGGGGACCTGAGTGACTGTGAAAACTGTGAGTGGCCAAATATGGTTTGGAAGGGCGGGGTTAGGATAATGAGATACAGTGAAGGTTTATGGGTGGCACTGTGGCTTCACACCTCTAGGGTTGTGGTTTCTACTCCTGCTCCTGGCTCTGGCTGTTGTTTTTCATGCATTGTGAGGGTTTCCTCTAGATACTCATTTCCTTGAACATATGGTTAGGTGAATTTGTGTCAGTAATTGACAAATTTTCATGGTGAAATCATATTTCGAAGGTACACTTGTGATGTTTCTAGTGTGTCAACAAGGAAACCCTCATGAGAGCGAGGCTCTGGTTCATTGCCTTGTGGGGGGGGAGGGGATATTCCTTTAATATCCATTCTTTCATCCATCCATCTTCTAAAGGCTCCTGTACAGGGTCACAGAGAATCTGTCTTGGGGGAGAAACAGGGATAATGTAGTTTTGGAAATCCTGAATTAAGCAATATTTAGGATTTAAAAAAAGAAGAAATTTTGTGCACTGTTCTAGTGTCTTCCATCTGACCAAACATGTCCCCCCCCCCCAGACATGGCAAATCTCACCCTGAATGATAACGACGGCTCCAGTGGGGCATCGGATCAGGACACCCTGACTCCCCTGCCCCTGCCGGGGGCCACACCCTGGCCCTTGCTCCACTCCTTCCCATACCAGTACCCCCACCCCTACTCCAGCCAACCTCCGGCCTACCACGAGCTGTCCAGCTACAGCTATGGACCCGGGAGCGCAGGAAGCCAGCACAGCGAAGGTGAGGGGGGGCAGGGTTCCAAACCCGCGCCCAGCTTCTGTGTCCCTGTCCTGCTTGGCACTAGCTTGGCCAGTGATGTCATCTGTAGGTGCATCTCCACCTTCCAGAAAGCTGAGCTCATGTGCCTGTCTCTTCGTCGTAGGGAGTCGGAGCAGCGGCTCGACGCGGAGCGAGGGCGATAGGCGGCGGGGGAAAGGAGGCAGCTCAGGGGGAGGCACCCGGGAGGAGAAATCGCCGGGGGGCGGGGCAGACTCGCGCTCCGGCAGTGGCAGCGAATCGGAGTACTCCACCCGCAGCAGCCTGAGGCGTGACCACGGCTCGGCCACGCCCAGCGAGCACAGCCACCTGAGCCAGCGCTCGCTGCCCCGCGCCCCACCCCCGCACATGCCCTACCCGCCCGGGATCCCCCTCCCCTATAACCCCATGATGGTCATGATGGTGCCACAGCACCCCCTGCCTGCGGTCGGCCCCCCTCACCCCCAACACCCTGCTGGTCCTCCGGGCCAGGTCCTGACGCCCTCCACGACCCCAGGGGGGCCGCCTGGGGCCCCTCCCACCCGCGACCTGGGCTCCGTGCCCCCCGAGCTCACAGCCTCCCGGCAGTCCTTCCACCTGGCCATGGGAAACCCCAGCGAGTTCTTTGTGGATGTGATGTAATGGTGTGTGTGTGTGTCTGTGTGTTTGTCTGTGTCTGTGTAGGGTGGTTGACAGAGCAGGGGACCCAGTAGTCTGACTCGGTGTTCATCCACAGAGCCGGAAGCAATTGAAGTTGACCCACAGATCACTGTAGGTGTCTTGTCAAAATGACCATCTTCTGAACCACGTCTCATGGAAGCCATCTCTGATCTATCTTTGCACCTCTGCTGTGGGTGTCTGAATGTCCCCATGTCCGTCGTGGTCGGACTGTGCCTGAAACAGAAGAAATACAAATACATCACTCTGCCCCCTCCCTTCCCCCCAACAGCAAAAAAATGTTAGAATATTGGATAGACAGATATATTGCTGATTAAGTCCTCAAGAATGACTTTTGTTTGGTTCCCCTCTGGTGTTTTGTGGCAGGTACTAAATAGCATTTCAGCACCCCCCCCCCTCCCCAAAAAAATAACCGCCTGCAATGACATGTGGTCATTTATGTTATTGAACTGACTATTTTTCATATGGTGAAAAGTCTTTAAAAGGCTACATGTATTCGGTGAAAAGTAAAAATGCATTTCCGTCACAGCTGTGGTGTAACCAAGCCCAAGAAAGCGAAGTGAAACGGGTAGAAATGGCTGTATTTATCCTTTTTCAGGCAATCGCAGTACTGTATACGAATATTTGTTTTGAATACGACGTTGTCACCGCCGAGCCAAAACAATTAAAAAATAAATGTGAATTTTAATTTCATTTAATGCAGAAAGTAATATTTACCGTCCCTTTCGTTACTGATCGCGATTTTTAAAAAGCCTGAATATTGTGTGTAAATATCCCGTTTTTAAGCCTTTAAAGATGAACCGCACCAGAGTTTTAACGTTGAATTAGCACAGATACTGATGGTAGATATGCACAGCTTTCGGTGTAATTTAAGTGAACAATGGAAGACAACGGTCCACGGTACGTGGGACATACCAAAAAAGGTACTTTTAATTTTAGATGAAGTATAAAAAAATAACGACGAACCTATTAGATTTCCAAAGGATCCCTCCCGTTTCATGTGTTACATGATTGTTTCATGGGTGCTTTCATTGGAAGAGTACTTTGGAAGTGTGTGTTGCGAAGTATAACACAATGATTTATGGCAACTTTGTCTTTATCGCCGTTTTCAATATTTGAAATAAATTTTTACTAATTTGACTTTGGTGTAATTTTTCTTACTTTCGATGTTTGACACGGAATCGTTACATCATTTTCATTTTTCTTTTCCATAAACATTTAAAATTACTCATCCTGAGCATCTGTTGTTGTTTTGAATCTGGTTTATTCAACTGTTCGGTACAGGATTTCAAAGAAAGAAGTGTTTTGAACAGTTTTAAACAGTTTTGAAATGTTTTAACCACGAACGAAGGGTCGTACGAAACTCCGATTCCCATAATTCAAGTAAACGGCACATGCGCGGACAAGGCCGTTTAGTTTCTGTTTGACGTCGCTAGGCTTGTGGAGCTGGGCGGAATGACTGCTTGTCGTTTCTATCACATTTGATCCAGTACCACGATTGTTGGTATTGACGATACCGGTATTCTTAAGCCTTTTGTGTTCATTGAATGGTAATAGGGGTGAACAATATTGGGGGGTGCGGAATCGTTGCATACAGCAACACTGAAGGAGCTACATACACTGCATCCTTCAAAGGATGTGGCCCCTGAATCCAGACGCAGCTTATATTTCGGCATCGATCAGCACATCCTTAGTAAGTGTTAATTGGCAAAAAGCGGAGCGGGACATGGTGATGGCCACCACATTTCAGGAAAACAGCCATTTGAAATACCGCGTGATCAAATTTTGTGCGTGTGAGGTGCTCCTTACGGGAAGAGCACAGAATAACAGCAGCAGGATTATACGCATTATGTATAAATCATCGAAGAATGACACTGTTTTAAATGTGTCATTTTCAAGACCAGCATTCCTGTTGTACTGGCACAGATCTCCTCTGTGCTAAGGTACAGGCATGTCTGTAAACTTCAGTCTGCTCCAAACGAAACGCTCCTCACTTGTCTTAGGAGATCATGCGCGTTTGTACCAGCTGCAGGATGGGCAGCTTTACTTTCTTCTCTGTCCTGTTCTTTTTCTGATTACATTTCCAACGTGTCTTCCTCATCCAGTCAATTGGGGGCAGATTTTAACTATTTTAAGAGACACCAATCTTATACATACCACACTCAGAAAAATGTATACCAATTTGTACCTTTGCTTGCCACTGGGACTGTACCCTCAAGGGTCTGCTGTAGGTAAATGTACCTTTTAGTTTAATTTAACATACAGAAATGGACTCTGAGGAACATCCCCAAGGTACAAACAACATGAATCTACCCCAAATTGTGCAAAATGTCCCTCGGAGTGCATTGCTGTGGCTTAAAAAGTACAATTACCTACAGGGTACAGCCCCAGTGACAAGCAAAGGTACAAAGTGCTACACTTTTTTTTCTGACTGTGCATATGAGCTTAATTTCTATCTATTTCCTGGCCCAACTGGTCACTTTAAGTAACCATATATACGTTTCATACGTAACTAAGCGGCAGCAGCCATTGGACATGCATAGTCAGTCGAGCTTTGGCTGGGTCATGAAAAGAGATGAAGTAGGAGATGCTTGCATTCACATGGCCCTCAGTGGAACGAGATCCTTTGTTTTGATGGTCTTCACAGATATTCATGCTTGGCTGAAGCACATCTGCTTTAAAATGCTGGAATCTCCTGCCAGCTTTACAGCACTGCAGGCCTGATACAGTCGTGCTGCTGTTTAGTGGCCTCAGATGGAAAATAAATGGGCCGTCTGGGGCATTAATTGGAAGGAGATCTGACCCTCGATGTTAGAAGGTCCATCTCTTTGTTCTCTGTTACTTCCAGCTGTTCAATGAGTTAAGCGCAAGTCTTAAGTGTAAGTTTTGCCCTCAGGAGTCATTTGTTGAGAAATATTTAAAGAGCAGCTCGGGAGTCCTGCTTCCCATCATCGGAGCGGCCATGACGCATTCGGCCGAGCAGCCTGTAGGCCGCTGCCGTGCCGTCTTGGCGGGATGGTCCCTGTCCCTCGGAGAGCAGGTGGGGCGTCTGCACGTTTTCTGAGGGAAGATCTGGGGATTTGCTCCAAGCTTTTCTTGGAGAGTAATAACAGGACCTTTTACAACTTTTAATAGTTCTGTCTCTTTTCTATTAGCTAAGCTCAGTACCGATTTATGCTGGTGTATCTATACTCCACAAAAAGGCGAATGGAGGTGAGTATTTTGTTCAGAAAATTGCACCGATAGCATTTTTTTTGTATTCCCAAAGTTTAAATTAAGCAATTACAAAATAAGTAGAAAAAAAACTGTATAAAACAGTGCCATTACTGATATCAATTGTTATCCAACATGAAACCAACAATGAAACCAACAGGCATATATTCCAAATGATAAATGATATATTTAATTAGGTTTTTTGGTACACTTCCCGTGACCCAGTAGGACAAGTGGGTTGGAAAATGGCTGGCTGGTACACTTGTTTATAACACTTTGCACACCCCATCTTGGACCACTGAACACATTTGGAGTCATCTTGGACTATCCTTCTGTGCAGAAACTTTTAAGGTCCTTAACCTTCTTAGTTTTGCATATATGGGCTGCCGGCTTTTGAAAGGTACCTGAAATAGCCGTTACATGTCTTCTGTTTTGTTTTCATCGACTCATTGCACTGATTATATACAGGCATCTCTTTGGTCACTGTATTGCTGGAAGGTTCACTGACAACCTCAGCTTCCTGGAAAAGGCAATCAAGTTTTTGGCTCAGATTAACTAGTCCTTGGTATAACTTACCTGCCATTGATTTTAAAATCATCCTCTTCACCATTGGCACCGATTCGTATTATTACCCTGTAGCAGATAGTGGTATGTGTAGTTATTTCTGTTTTGTCTTAGCACCAATTTCCTCTCCTTGTGTTTAGCAAAATGCATCTTTCTCTTTTGCCTTGAGGATTTGATCTGAAGCCAAGTGTAGAAGTACGGTGGCCAATAAGTGTCAACCTGCTGCAAATTCAGAAAACACTTCAGAATTCAACAACTCTGCAAATTTGCTCACAACACAACAGAAGTTTCGGGGGAACAATCGTTGATAAATTTTCAAAAAGAGGTATAGGATGACACAATACAGTTTATGACAATATATTTTTTAATTTGGGCTCCATTAAAGATTTAATATTTGTTGGTAATTAAACAATTAGTTATTCTTGGCAGGAGCAGCCTTTTATCTCGGGCTTAACTCCAGCTTTCCCTCACCTTAAAGACGCCGGAAAATCCCACCAGAAACCACTATTGGCTCTGAAATATCAGAAACAGTTGCGAGATTGTGTGGTAACGTTGAGTCACGTTCTCCCATTCTCTGTGAGTTGACAGTTGCTGCTTGTGTACAAACATAGCTCAGTTCCATTCAAGCATCAGTTTGCAATCATTACTGAAGTATGGGAATATCTACTATTACATCATTATGAAAAAACCACTGCATGCTTGGATTGTTACTATTGCTGTGATTGCTTCAGTTTTGATTCTGCAAAACGAATATACTTCACAGCATGTAGAAGTCTTGTTATAATTAGAGGGTTTCAATCATCCTAATTGACAGCAATGATGCACAGGCCTCAGGACAGGCAGGGTGACTAGGATGACCTCCACATACGTGTACAAAGTAACTTAAACTGTTGCAAAACAAACGTGGAGTTAAAAAAATAATAGTATTGTGTATGTACATATTTGTTTAAATTTGACTACAACCCGATGGATCCTTCTCTGCCCAGTCTATCCCATGACTGACTGCATGGAGGTAGAACCCTGTTTGCAAAAAAGTTGAGATGCGTGTAAAATGTAAACATAAACAAAGTGCAATATTACCCCAAACGTAACTGAAAACAGAACAAAGACAACATATCAAAAGTTGAAACTGAGTAATTTCATCATTGTTTAAAAATTCCCTGTTAGAAATTTCATTATTTCATTAATTATGACAAATATACTTGAATTTGATGCCAGCAACACATTTCAGAAAAGTTGGGACAGCATGTTTACCAGTGTTGCATCACCTCTTCTTTTAACAACAACCTGTAAACCTTTGGGAACTGGGGAGACCAGGGGGGTGTTCCACGAAGCAGGATTTCTCCGTTAGCTGGGTTTAACTTAGCTAAAGTTCATGCTTGTCCAATAGAAATGCTCCTTACCTAAACTCTTATTAGACAATCATGAGTTCTAGCTAAGTTAAACCCAGCTAATGAAGAAATCCTGCTTCGTGGAACACCCCCCAGTTGCTGGAGTTTTGAAAGTGAAATATTGCCTGATATAGCATTTCTCATTTTTCGTTTCATGATGTGCTACTGTAAATGTTTTCAATGGGCGACAGCTCTAAACTGCAGGGAGGTCAGTCTAGCACCCGCACTGTTCTACAGAGCCTTGCTGTTGTAATAAGTGCTGAATGCGGTTCGGCATTGTCTTGCTGAAATATACAAGGCTTTCTCTGAAAAGGATGTTGTCTGGATGGCAGCATTTGTTGCTCCAAAGCCTGTATATATCGTTCAGCACTGATGGTGCCTTCCCAGACGTGCATGTTATCCAAGCCATGGGCAGTAATGTGGGCGTGTCCCAGCTACATGACAGGAATGGTGCTTCTTGAGCCAAGGGTACGGATGGGAACAGCTGGGGTGCGTCTCAATGCCTAGAACGTGAAGATCATACTTGTGGAGTGTGTCCTAATTCAGAGGCTGCATCCTTTGAAGACTGTATTCAAGGACGAGATGCGTCACAGCAGTGCGACAAGGCTGGTTCCTTCGAGGGCTCCTTCAAATGCAGCCTAGTAACACTTCCTTCTTTTGCCAAGTAGCGTAGGATCCACCCGATGGATCCTTCACAACCCAACATATCCCAAGATTCATTGCTCGGAGGTAAAGTGGGTCCCAGCTGGGCGATAGGAGCAGCGCAAGGGTAAAGGCAGGATCAGCTGGGCGATAGGAGCAGCGCAAGGGTAAAGGCAGGATCAGCTGGTGATGCAAGTAGGAAGTTATCTGCTGGCCAGACTGTCCCATTTGATAACGCTTTCTGTTTGACCTTTGAAGAACACCACTTGCAAAGGCCGCACCTATAGATCACATCCTTCAAAGGATGTAGCTCCTGAATTTGGACACAGTCGTGGTCTTGGCAAAACCGGTCTTACTAACTTGCCTCCCAAGAACGAACGTGGGGCCAAATGAATCTTGGGATTGGTCTTGTTTGGCAAGGATGCAACCGATACATCCTTGCATAGGTAGGCGGTAGGTAGAGAGTGGGCAGGCTGTAGGCAACAAAGACACTGTACTGTACAGTCCTGCCTGACGTATAATGTTACAGTACTTTACTGAACTCTAGATAACCTTATACTTTAGTAACTCTAGTTAAAATTATACTTGTTATAATTGTTATGAATTTTTATGTTAATTGCCTACTTATGTGTACACTAATGAATTTTCTATAATTATTGTGAATTTCCATAAATTACAAAAAGGTTTAGCATGTGTTTAGGCTTCGGACAAAATGAAGCATGTTTTATTTTATAAAAAAAGAATCTTTGAGGACGAAACTTCTTAAAATTGACATGCTACTACAAAGCACTGTACTACTACAAAGTAGCCTAAACTTTCTAAGTGACTGTGGTAATATTCGATCAACATCCATCCCATTCTACAGCACGTAATGCGGATGTTAAATGGGGAATACCTGTATATATTTATTGCCTAGTGAAATGAGAAGTAATGCAAGGTCATGCATGGTTCCTTAAAATAGAAGTTAACTTAGGTAGGATTACAGATTTAGTTTGGCTTTGTTGTGTCTAAACAAATTGATGATTTCAACACCTATTTTTGAGGGAATGATGATTATTACTTAATAAAAAGAAATGGAAAAAAACAGAATTGATCTATATAGCTTCTCTCTGTTAAAATATTGCTTGTAGTCTGTTTTGTGCTGTTTTATTGCATCTCTCTGTATCATTTTGTCACATAGCTGCACACATGCGCGCACACATACACACAGAGACACACACACTTTCACCAGCTTGTTCTTCCTCAAAGACTGCACCATGCAGTCTCTGTAATATCACCCCCATAAATATTGTGCATTCTCTCCGCGTCCGCCAGGTGGCATAGTAGAGCACACATTGTATCTTCATGTGTACGTTAGTTTTAAAATTTTGAATTTTGGTAGCTCTCGCCTTCATTGTGGAGCAAGGTATTGGTTGTGTGAAATGACAGGGGAAGAGGAAGTGGAAGCAGGGTGATCTGATGGACCTAGATAGGGCTATTTTTTGTATTGCTACATTAATAATATTAGTTACCATGAGGACATTTTTTCATGTGTCCCTTTCCAGGCTTCGTGATCTTTTACTGTGGTGGAACACCTTCCACACAACGGATGGGGAATGATGATTTTTTCTTCGTGCTTATCTGACCAGACTTCTGACCCCATGAATGTCAGTAACAGTTTACACATTTTAAAAGCACATTAGTAACAGTTGTGTACCTTTTAAAATAACAGTTGTGTATTTTAAAAACACGTGTACTGGTGTAGTGGTTAGTTGAAAACACTCTGCTGTCGATTTCTGGACAGTTAAGTTCCCCATCCTGCCTGCACCCCTGACTTATGACCCCACCAATCCAGCGGAGAGGCTGATGGCTGTTGAACATGGCTGTTGTGTTCTGCGAGAACATGTGTTGGGTGACATAGGAGCAATTTTAAGGTGACCTTGAAGCTCCTGAACAGCCCGTAGGTTTGGCAGCAATGCTGTGTCCTCATGAAGGGGGTCCTCACTAAGACCATGAGCACTCAGTTTCACCATACTGTCCGTGCCTGCCTGTCTGCATGTTTGAACCTGTCTCACTGTCTGTCTGTCTGTATGTTTGAACCTGTCTCACTGTCTGCCTGTCTGTATGTTTGAACCTGTATCACTGTCTGTCTGTATGTTTGAACCTGTCTCACTAACTGTCTGCCTGTCTGTCTGCATGTTTGAACCTGTCTCACTGCCTGTCTGTATGTTTGAACCTGTCAAACTAACTGTCTGCCTGTCTGTCTGCATGTTTGAACCTGTCTCACTGTCTGCATGTTTGAACCTGTCTCACTGTCTGCCTGTCTGTATGTTTGAACCTGTCTCACTGTCTGCCTGTCTGTATGTTTGAACCTGTCTCACTGTCTGTCTGTATGTATGTATGTTTGAACCTGTCTCACTGTCTGTCTGTCTGTATGTTTGATCCTGTCTCACAGCCTGTCTGTCTGTTTGAACCTGTCTCACTGTCTGTCTGTCTGTATGTTTGAACCTGTCTCACTGTCTGTCTGTCTGTATGTATGTTTGAACCTGTCTCACTGTCTGTCTGTATGTTTGATCCTGTCTCACTGTCTGTATGTTTGAACCTGTCTCACTAACTGTCTGCCTGCATGCATGTTTGAACCTGTCTCACTGCCTGTCTATCTGTCTGCATGTTTGACTTTGTCTTACAATCTGCCTGTCTGTCTCTTACAATGTATTTGTTTGTCTCTCCAGGTGTATGAGTATGTCTGTCTGTCTCTGCATGTGTCTGTCTCATCATACACTACCAGTCGTTTTTGCACACATTTTCTACATTTGCATTTTATTCACTTATTTACTAAAAATACATTTCATATTCTTTACTAACAAATAAATTTACAGTATGTTTACCATTTGAGTACCTTTATTAGCAAGAAAATGACATATCATTAATTCGTCAAAGTAACCTCCTCTAGCAGTTATAACAAAAGAGAAAGTTCAAGGCATTAAATACTGCTCTGTTTCATGGGATGAAACGGTTAACTAGCGCATTTAAAGTTAAAGGACAGCCTAGAATTTAACTATGCTATCATCACACAGCCTTTTAATAGGATGTCAGGCATGCACTCTTTCTGTGATATAAAGGAAACTTGTTTTATTTGACTTATATTTTCATTTATAGTTGTTCATTCAACTTTCCAGTGCTTAACAAGAATAAAAAACCTGCAGTTTATGAAATGAATGGAAAACTGGTAAAAACCTATGGTATGCAAAAACTTTTATGTATGTCAATCTGTCTCTCTGCCTGTTTGTTTTTGAGTGTGTATTTCACCATCTGCCTCTGTGTGTGACAGTTTGCCTGTCTGTCTGCTTATTTGAATCTGTCTTACCATGTATCTGTTTCTCTGAGTCTATGAGTATGTTTGCCTGCCTGTCTGTCTCTCTGACTTATTGTCTGTCTATCTTTCTTTGCATGCCTGTGTAGGTCTCAGAATTAGAATCCTTTCATTCGCCAAGTACGAAAAGAACAAGTAATAAAATTAAAAACAGAAACCAAAGACAATAAAAGCATGTTGGTCTCTCTCTGTCTGTCTTTTCCCCAGCTCTGTATCGCGTGGGTGGGAGGATGCCCTATGCCATTTGCCTGAAACGGGCCCCGAGGTCTCTTGCCCATGTCCACATTCCCAGAGGTGCCCATTCCAGCTGTCACTCCAGCTTCCTCTCCCCTAGGGCCAGACTACATTTCACAGCGGCCCCGGAACATTCCGGAATGGCTCTTTCTTTTTCAGGGAAATTCCCAGCCTTTGCTGTTCTGCCACCATCTCAGCAGTACCGCTTCCTGTGTGTGGGTACAGCCACGCTCTGTCTCTACTTGCACCCTCTTCTCGTGAACTTTTCTGAACGTTTGATTCACGTCGCCCCACATCCAGCACTGAAAGTGCTCGGGGTGCCTCTTTGGGGCCACTTTGTTCCGTCTTTCAGGCCGGCCCCTATGTGGCTTCAGTTTTTTCGTTTCTTGGTGGGGGTGGGGGGTGCATTCAACCGTTTCTCTTTTGTTAAGGGTGTCGTGTGTGGGTCCTTGCACTGTGTGGGTTTGCTCTTCACATCCATGTCTGAAGGCAGGCCAGACCCTGCAGTTCCTGTTTTTTTTGTGGACCATATGGCCAACAGAACCCAGTTTGGTAGGAGGAGCCATTCCGGGGGATCTGGACCTGCTCAGTATCGCCACCATGTATCATGGGACCCACACGCCAACAGTTGCTACCCGCCCACCTGTCTCTCACCCCCAGCTTCCTCTCCTCTTCCCTTCTTCAGCCTCACCAGCAACCGCAAGTTATAAATATCACAGAAACAAACATACATACTCTCTGCATCTCTATAGTGTCCCATGAGCCCT